ATGCCATTTTGTTTTCTCAACTGTCTCAACAGTTTTTCTGCCTTTAGCTTCAACGAAGATTGAATATTATATTGCTAGAGCTTACTTTAGTCTGGTCATCTGTTCATGAGGACTATTACTCGAGCTTTCTCTATTCGAGGTATTGGTTTCTGAGGATTGTTGATTTACTGGTGCTCGAGCTTCTTCTATTCTTGCCTTATTTATGAGGCTTGCCTTCATTTGTCCAAACTCAAGTTGCTTTCTCCTAAAGCATCTTGAGTTTGAGGGGGAGTGTTGAAATATACAACCTGATATCTTTGACTGCACAACTTTGTACACCTAATGAAGTTGTGATATCTTTGACTGCACAGTTGTGTGCACCTAATTAAGTTGTAAACAACCTATTTACAGACTGTACCACAAAGATGTAATCCTATAAATAGAGTATTATACACACATCTAAGATAACTCCAGTAATACAATGTATGCATTTTTGTAATACATTTATGATTAAGTAATTCAGGTATGTGGCTTTTATAATATACATCCATGGGGACTTAAGGTCCAAATATATACATAATTAAGTTGTAAACAACCTGTTTACAGGCTGTACCACAAAAATGTAACCCTATAAATAGGATATACAATACACGTCTAAGGTATCTCTAGTCATATAGTGTATGCATTCTGTAATACATCTTTGGGGTTCAGTAATTCAGTTGTGTGGCTTCTATAATATACATCCATGGGGGTTTAAGGTCCCAATATACAGCTTTTTACGCTTTAACATACCTTCATTTCAATTTATTTTTTATCCAATGTTGCAAGCATTAAGATCCTATTTAGTTTTTATCTAATATTGCAAGCACTCAGATCCTAGTTTGGATAAGGGTATTTTCATTCTTTTACAAAACTTCTTATTTGATTCCTTATTGGCCCATCCAATCTAGAGAGAATGAGAAACCCTGGTAGCCACTTTCCATGAGTTTTTGAGAAATTAAAAGCTCCCCACAATGAGTTTTTGGCATGAATTTTGCCTGATTCATGGTACACAATTGATGGGGGGAGATCCAATGTAGAGTTTACCAAGTGTCCGAGAGATGATCATGGGTAGTTACAACTATCTTATTTGATAATTTTTTGTTGTTATTACCTTTAGAAAAAAATATAATCATTTACCTTTTGTATAAGGAAGTCACAATCATTCTTGTCATTTAAATTTCAAAATAAGTGGTTGTAAGAGTGTGATTGAATAAACACAAAAGTCTAAACCAAAATTTCATACTTCGTGACTCACCCCAAGCCATCCAATTTCACATGTAATGAGTGGGAATAGTTGTGACCACCTTAAAATAAAAATAGCTAGTCTCTTTGTAGACAATTGCTTCTGTTTTAAGACTTTGATGTATGAAAGTATGGAGTAGCATGTGTAAAGAGCATGTTCCACTATGAATAATAAAACCATTTTGAGAAAATGTGGGACTGTTTGAACACCATTAACTTGTGTAGGAGTTCTGGAGAAGTATCTTGACATTTGATTTGATCTTCAATGAGATTAGAAATGTTTTAAGCAAAAAAGATGTCTCTTTCTAACGATTTAACATACCAGTGGTAGTAGAAAGGATTCATTAAATGTGATTAAATGGATTAAGAAAGAGGATGAGTTTCCATGGTCTTTACATGCTTTGATGAGGGAAGTGGGTGAGGGATGTTGTCATATGACCATTACTTTTGGCCATGTGTATTGGAAATCCAACATGGAGGTTGATCGTCTTGCAAAGGATGGAGTTGCAATAGAAGATCTAAACGTTGTGATTCTGTAATTTTTTCTTTTTTTAGTTTGTAAATATGTAAATAAGCTGTTGTTGGTTTCTAACGTTTATATACGGAAAAAGCTATACATTGTCTAAAGGGGCGACTAAAACAATTTTATTTAGTAAATAAGTTGTGCTTTTTTGGAGGGCTTTTTGTGTAACGAGTTTTGGTGTATGTAAACAGTTTATGGTGTAAGTTGGAGGTTTCAATAGATCTGAAAAATAATAATAAGTCAACCCTAAACTAACTTCTTTTTTTCTCTTTATTGTGTTGAGTTATAATTTAATGGGTGAGCTGTGTATAAGGTGCCTACCTTATATTGAAGGAGTAAGGTGCACCTCTAAATTTTACCATATGATGGAGTTTTGGTGTAGGAAACTTTGTGATGGCTTGAAAATCCATATTCAACTCTAATTATTAAATTTAAAATTTTAAAAAATGTGTAGATCAAGCAGATCTATAAACACATGAAAACTTTGAAAACAGACGGATTAGATAACTTGTCACAAGATGCACTATTTTTAATACTTAAATTTTTTTTTTTTTCTTGATATCCATACATCTCAAGATTGAGATTATGTATTGGAAGGTTTTTCAACTTTAGATCTTTTTTTTATATTAAATTTTTTAGTTGCACATTACTTTTATGGTATAAGATTGCAACATTATATAATATTTTTCCTAATTTAATTTGCTTTATTCTTTTGTAATTTTCATTTATTTTGGTGGCCTAGCATGCCACCGTTTCGCTTCATTAAAGTCCCTAATGCCTAGGCTTTAGGATAAAAGCAAAACACCTCTTCCAAGAACCCCACTAGAAAATGCACGTCTAGCACTCAATTTGACGATCTCAATCTTCCTGACTATAAATTTGAAAAAAAACAAAATTTCAATCTCAAATAATAATTCTTGTAATCCAATATTTGGACAGTTGATTTCATAAGGTTTCAATAAGATGTCAACCTTGTACTATTAAAGGTTTATGTAAGATGTCAACCTTGTACTATTAAAGTAAGGTGCGCCTCGAGTTTCGGTTTCAAAAAGTCATGTGGTTGGATAAAAATCTATTGTCAACCCTATTTATGAAATTTAAAGTTGAAAAAATGATACAAATCGAGCAAATCTATAAATAATTAATTTTTTTTGAAAATAGATGGTCTAGATAATGCATTATAAGATGCACTATTTTAAAAAATGGATAGTCTAGATAATGCATTAACTTTTTTTAAAATGGATGGTTTTTGTTAACATCATAACAACTTTTTAATCCATATATTTTTGAAATATATAGATTATTAGGTATGCCTTACCTCAACGGTACGGTGGTAACGTAGCTTTTTAATCCATATATTTTTGGAATATAAGTTCGTAGTCATCAATGGTACTAGAATTTTAGGCCATTGCGGAAGGTGTTGGAGGGGTTTGGAAGCGCGTTTTTTTTTTTTAATTCTTCTTTTATTTTATAATATATATATATATATATATATATATTCTGGAATATAAGTTTGTAGTCATCAATGGTACTAGAATTTTAGGCCATTACGGAATGTGTTGGAGGGATTGGGAACTGCGTTCTTCTTATTTTTTTCTTCCTCTTTTATTTTATTTTATTTTAGCTCATATACCATACCGCCTCAAGAACATAATTTATTCCTACTCCCTCAGACAAAAAAGACCTACTTGGGAGAAGTTTTTCAATTTGAAATTTTGAGAACCACTTGAGAATTAATTGATAATTATTCTCAGAAAAATATTGAGTTTTTTGACACTTAGATCTTACCAGCGTTTTAAAAATCGTTGAGTCGGCACGAAATCGGCCGATTCGAACAAGAAATCTTTCATCCGTGTCAATTCTTTTGTAAAACCTCATGCCGATTCGAATCGAAAATCGGTCATCCGTGTACCCAGCCTCGAACCAGAAATCGGTCATCCTGTGTCAATGTCCGACAAACCTAGAAGTGCTCCTCCATCACAAAACCACTTTGCTACATATGTTTCACACGTGACTTATTTTGGTAGCAGAAGACTATTTATCTTTGTTAAATTTGTTCTGTGGGTTCGAAGTGAGATAATTGTGCTAAGGTAATAGCTCAAAAAGAAATATGATATAATTATTAAGTGGCCTTTTTGAATTACAATTTAACATTTGATGGGGTGGTTAATATATTGTTTTAGTGCGATGGATGTTATGGGATCAATTCCTACCTAAGTGCTGTATCCGTTCCTTCACAAACAAATAATTTTTTTTTTTTTACAAAATAATTTTTTTTACATATTTTTTTTTTATAAAAAATATAATATATATAAGGTTCTTGTCAAAAAAAAAAGTTAAGAAGGCAATACAATAAAAAAAAAATTTCTTGTCAAAAAATAAAAGCTTATTGTAAAAAAAATATAAGGTTCTTGTAAAAAAAAAACAAAAGTAATACAACAAAATTTATTTTTCTTGTAAAAAAGAAAACGTTTATTGTAAAAAACATATAAGGTTTTTGTAAAAAAAAAAAAAACAAGAGGCTATACAACAAGTATTTTTTATTCGTTTTTAGAACGAGTCAATGAATTGTCACACGAATTCAATCAGTGGCACCAACGTGACCAAGATGAAGAACGACATCGTTTGTCATTTTATTTTTAGGTCGTATGTTACGAATTGCATGTTTTATTGTAGTCCATGTATGATGATATACTTAATCCATAATAATTCTATACTTATCCTTATGTGTGATATAAATTAAATGGTAAACAATAGTTCATGCGGGGAAATAACATAACAATATTCGCATATTTATGCAAAAAAAAATGAAAATTTTTAATGGGGTACCCCTATTTCTTATTGAATTATTAAGAAACAATATTTATAATGAATTTTAATAATTTTTTTGGATTTTTTTTAAAACTTAATCCTACCAATTAGGTCGATTCTCAATCCGGATCGTGGATTCACCGATTCGGATGGATTTTTGAGGTGCTCGATTCGGATCACCAATATGTTTTTTAAACCATTGGATCTTACAATTGAAAAATTGGATTGGCCATATGTCGAGATATTATTTTTTTCAAGTACCTAAATGGCATAATTTTTTATTGAGATTAATATATGGATTGAGCATCCCAAATTTTGGGCGGTGAGAGGATTTTCCGAGGGAGTAAATGAACATTATACTCCCGCTGAAGTAGAATATCACTTTTGTTTTGGCGCCGGTTGCTCTCTCTCTCGCTCCATTTTTGGCGCCCTTTCCCCTGTCTCTTTCTATCGATGCTAGGTTCAAGCAGGCCAAGCAGTATCAAGGCGCTGATCTCTATTTCTCGCACCACCTCTAATGGCGGAATACAGTGCTGAGACAGTGGAGGGATTGAAGGCACTTCTCTCCTCTTCTTCAGAGGGGGACAAAGCTCGAGCTTACACAGGCCTTTTTCACCTACAAAAACGAAGCGCTGATGATAATCATGCCATCCAAATCCTCTCTCAACAATCTCTGCAGCTTCTCCCTCTAATCAAAGTAGACATTTTCAACACAGATGAAGAGATGCATGTTTCTTCCTCCTTTACCTCTCTTTCGCAATGTCTTTCCAATTTCACATTCTTGATTTAGCTTTAAAACGGGTTTCATTTTTTCAGTATTTTGAGGGGTTTTTTTTTTTTGTCATTTTTTTTTTTGCAGTGCAGCACAGGCATTGAAGTGTTTGGGGTTCCTTATTTATCACCCAACTCTTGTTGCTGTGGTACCAGGTGAGCTTAAGAGATTGTCCATTGCATTGATATATGTTCATTTGCCTTTTTTTCCTTTTAGTTTTTGCCTTTTAATAGACGGTAAATTCTGTTATTGTTTTGAATGATGGGTTCTCTTTGTCATGTTTTGATCGTTTTGGCTGCGATAAATTTTTCTTTTTTTTAAGGAAAATCTTGGTCTTCCCATATATCAAACTGTACGTTCTGGCAAATGGAGGGTCTTTTAAGTTTTAGCTTGCCTTTTTGTGGATCAAAGAAAATAAACTGATTTTTGGGATTCTGTTTTCATGCTGAATAGATGTCTGAATTAAGTTGATTGCAGAATTTCCTGCGCTGTTAGAAAATTTGTGAAATGTAGGATCTTGCTGCTGAAAACCATCTTTTCTATGTCTCACATAACTGAAATGCAGTGAGTTGTTTATAGATGTCACAGGGTACTGTTATAGCTCATTCCCCACAAAAAAAAAGGCAATAAAAACCACATAAAAGAAATTTTTAGATACTTTGGTTGGACGAAAGACCCTAGTTAACTGTTAAAAAGCTACAACTTTGCTATAAGATGAAAGAGGTAGTTGATCATGTTATCATTATTTTTTTATGGAGGCTGAAATTAGCTAAGAAACAAGTTGGTTGTAATCTTGAATTTGAAATTGAATACTGTCCTTTGATTGACTACTAAAAAAAGTTATTAAATGACTATAGATTACATTCCATCATTGATGACATCCACTTTCAGAAGTCACTTAGCTCTTTCAAGTTCCCAGTGAGGCTTCAGATCACACAGAAGCTCTATACTCCTCCCAGTGACCCCTTTGTATCATGAAAGTATTGCAATTATTGCTCCTAGTATTCAAGGATCTCCACTTAGGCTATGAATGGCATACCAAGTCCTCAGAGGACAACCATTAGTGCAATTGGCCAAAATGCAATGACCACATAGATGCCTTTCTGAGAGTAAACCATTCACGGACTCTCCCTCTCCAATTTTAAAGTGATATCAAATTTTCTATGCAGGCTGGAATAGAAAAAGGATGGTGAAAAACTCCTTTCCCAGGAAATGGGACTAAATTTTTTTTGGTAGTTGCGATTTACAAAGTAGCAATACATGATTTTTTAGTAAAGTTTAGTTACTTTTTACAGTTTGGTTCTAGGGTTTGAATTGACATTTTTGACATAGAAATTAGAACTTCAGCATGTGCATGGAAAGCAGATTGACATTTGTTTAGTTGAAATATGGACAGAAGGTAGGATTCACGAAAAGTTTGGGACTAAAAAGAAAAAGAAAAATAGAATGGGTATATTATTTTCTTCATGATGAAAACAATTCCTCCAACATTTTGGTGATTTCTTACATCATTGGCTTTGGAACTGGGGTTGAACTTGTGATTTACCGTTACCTGGTACCTTATTCGATCATGTGGCATACTACATGCAGTATCAATAAAATACACTACATTTAATCGCAAAACATATGTTCTCATTAATTGTTGGTTGAGATAAATCCCTTCTCCATTTGAGGAGATATAATGGACTTTACCAAAGGCATGATTCATCCTTGCTATCTGTTCTTGAGCAGGGATGGTTGAGATTACATGTAGTGAGGAATAGCCTCGAGACCTGGGTGGTGAGGGTGGTGGGGTGCCATGACACAACTTCTAGAGTTCCATTCCTACGAGGTTCTCAAGTTGACATTCGAATGAAACAAAAAAAAGAAGACTTTACATGTAATAAACTCTTTCTGTACTACATGCAGTAATGGTATACTTACCCATTGGTTAGACTCCGTGGGTGAGAAGGTGTTATACTTGGGCATTGCCAATAATTGATGTATGGGTCATTATTTTTGGTAGAATCCTTCCAAATAAGCCACAAAGCTCTCATGGGAAGGTTTTGTAACATTGGCTTCCACTCATTTACTATGCGGCTTTCCATGAAATGATGAACTTTAAAGAGCTTTTGGAAAACCAATTGTTTTTTGATAATCTACAAGAAATGATGAACTTTAAAGAGCTTTTGGAAAACCAATTGTATTTTGATGATCTACAAGATCAAGATATTATAAAAATTCACTCTGTTGGGCATCTTGAATGAAATTTTGTTCTTGTTGGTTTGGTGCTGTTTACCTCAGTGTTAGAGTTGTCACTGAGATTTTGGGCAGATTCTTACATACCAAAGACTCAATTCAGGAAAACCCATGCTGTATTGGTCCTGGTGTATATTCTTTCATCTCCGAGCCATTATCCATGGTGTAACGATTTTTGTTATGCCATCATTGGACAATTCGTGCCATGGAGATTTACAAATTTCATAGGACGTCGATGCAGTTGTTTTGGAAGGAGATGTTGCTTGATGTTTTACTCTGAGAGGAAAGAATTCAATGCATTAAGCAGCTCTTGAGAGTTTCTGTTTCACCATTTGTTGGTGGTCCCAATGACGGATGTTGTGCATGTTCTTAGATGTTCTGAAACTGTGCAGATAATTTTGCAAGACATAGTGGTTGGCTTCGAATCACATTCAGCACATATAGATGTCCACCAACTCCAGACTCCCGGTGGGGAACTCTCTCATCCTTAAGGAAGCCCCTCCCGCTACTCTGGACATCAGCCAGAATAGCTGAAGAATGCGTGAGATCTTCTTCGAAAGAGGTCAAGTTTTTGGAGGGAGAGATGCCATTCTTACCAAACTTGTTTTTGACAACTATGGACAGTTTATGCTTGGGGTATGCTGCCATAACGTTTTAGGTTTCTTGGATGATTTTTGTAGTTTTAATTCTTAGTAAACAACATTTTCTTAAGAAGTAAAATAAATATTACAAGCTGAAACCTAAGTAGTTTTTAATATTACATAGTAGTTTTTAATTCTTAGTGAAGGGCATATTCTCAAGTAAAATAAATATTACAAACTTGTCTATGGAAAACCAAATTCACATATGGCGCTACAGGAAGCCAACAATTCTAAACGAGCGTTATTAATTATTTATCCTTGTCAGTATTTATTCGATTTCAATGTTATTCTGGAAAATCGTGCATAAAAGTTTTCATGGAATCTGTAGATGTAGTTGTACTAGCTGTTATTATATTTTGTGCATGAACTGATTATTCCTATTGAAATGAAGGTAACATGGAATAACTCCTCGTGGTTGCAGATTTAGTTGCTCAAGATATCATTGAATCCTTGGAGAAACTCATAATGACCACAAAAATGAAGGTAATGTTTTATGTAATGGCATATTGAACACTTGCTTTCTGCCTTCATTGACATTTCCTTGTGACTATAATTCATGCTTTGTTGGGTGCAGGCTATTTGTAATTTAGCAGTGTGGTGTATTTCTGTTCAACAATTTAGTTCTTCCTTCTTAGCATCTCATCAGGAAACTTTATTGAAGGCAGTAGTTTATGCCATCGACAATCCATTTGGGTCTCTTTCGACAACCTTTGAGGCAATTCAGGTTTTATTGCAGGCCACCATTTTGATTGGTTACTTTTTTGCTACTTATTCTGCATTGGACAATCCTGCTGATTTCAAATGTTGGTTGTAATATTTTCATTTAAAAAAAAATTGGATATACAAGCATCACTTGGATGTACAAAATTGGAGTCACTGTGAAAACGATACTCTGAATCTTGGAGGTCTAGCCATTGAACCAAGCTACTGTTAAGGAGCTTTAGTATATTCCTTCCAAGTGAAACGGCTACTCTGTTGCATTCTCTCCTCCTGTGATTTCATAACACACTTAAGTCACTAATATGAGCACACTTCATGAATAATTTTTATGTTAGTACCATCGATGTTCCTCCATACCAAACTCCCTATTGTGGATCACCTTTTCTTAAACTTTACCTCCATTTGGCTTCTATGCATCTAAGCCCTAAAAATAGACCCATGCTCAATATTCGAGTCACATGTGTGCAATGCATTAAATTTAAGACCAAACCTGAACGAGAACAAGGGGGGACACCGGTTGGAGAGGTCGCGAATTGAGTGGGGCCATTGAACCAGTATCAAATCACATGGTTTGATATGTGGACCGGCTGGTTTGACCTGTGTTGACCAACCTGACTGGTTTTGACATGCTACAGTGATATATGGAAATCATCAGCATTATCATTTGAGCTTTATCCCAACTATTTAGAGTTGGCTACACGAATCATGTTTTGCCATTCTACTCTATCAAGGGCCATACCCTTAGTCAGACAATAAGTCATCATATTTCTTCTCATTATTTTCATCCATATCCTTTTGGGCTTTCCCTTTGCTCTTTTAGAGCCGGTTAGGAAGAGTGATTTGGTTCATGTGGTAGGCTCTAAAAGGTCAATGAGAAGTCCCACAAGGATATAGATGATAGTAAAATATATGTTGACTTATGATCTAACTGAGGATATAGTCATTGATAGAGCAGAATGACGGAATAGGATTCATGTAGCCGGCCCCAAATAGTTGGGATAAGGCTCAGATGATAATGTTTATGATGATTATCATAAAGACTTTTAGCAAATTAAAATACAACATTAGTCATTAGGAACTTGAAAGAAAATTTTCAAATGAAATATATTACCTAGATTTGATTTGGTCCTTCGTCTCATGGCCATTTCTTTCCTGAGCAACTTCAAAGCACAATTATACAAAATGTGCTCATCAGCAAATATTTTTATATTGGATTTCTGGCTCAAGAACTAGTCTCTTAAGGCACTCACTAAATCCATCCATGATTGTGTCTTTCCTTTCAATATCTAGGTTAGCATAAAAGAACTTCGAGTTCAAATAGACCTAGTTGCATACAATGGTCTTTGAAGCTGCCTATCCCACTTGTCATCTACAATTCTCTCTCTCTCTCTCTCTCTCTCTCTCTCTCTCTACTACTACACACGATAGTAGTAGTAGTAGTAGTAGTTAGTTACGTTTACGTTTACGTTACGTTACTTACGTTACTTACGTTAGTAGTACGTTAGTACGTACG